GATAGGAAGTGAACCACATAAGAAACGAGAACTACATTCCAGCCATAAACCTCAACACGTGAGGTTCACGGCCACAATCTAGGTTCACGGCCATGAACCCTCCCTTGGCCGTGAACTCCACACACACACACACACACACACACATATATATATATATATATATATATATATATATATATATATATATATATGAGTTTGATTCATTTTCCAATCACTTCTTCATTTCTTGGCTGAAAATACTCCATTCTCTTTCAAGTATCATACTCAAGAACACCCTTTTCTTCCCTTAAACACTCCTTTTCTTTTGCATCTCTTTGGTATACCACGAAAGGCCTTCAAACACTCACCAATCAACAAGATCTCCAAGTGTTCTTCACATCTTTTGGGCCGTAAACCCTTCATAAGCGACGTGAACCCTTCAAACCTTCAAGGGCCGTAAACACCTCAAGGTGGCCGTGAACACATCAAACCCAGCCGTGAACTCCCTTTCAGCCTCCTAACTTGCTTCTAACACTCCTTTGGTGAGTTATTCTTTCATCCTAGGTTGTTTGCTAAACACCTTTGTGGTTAGATTCACTAATTTCATACCTATATGTATCATTATATGTTATTTAGGACTCGTTTGTGCTTCGGGACTTCACTCGTGAAACTTATCATCCTATATCGAATCTTCAATTGAATCACCCACATAATGTGAGTTCATACCCCTATAATCTACCTTTTTAAATGGTTTTAAATGCTTTTAAGGGGGGAAATACAAGTTGAACACAATCTAATTGTGTTAATATTTACATGTGATATCAATCACATAAAAGATTTTCTTATGTTTTTAAATATTGTTTTTACAATAAAAGATTACCAAATACTTCCAAAATGATTTAAAGTCATGTAGACTCTTTTTAAACACTGTTAAACTCTTCGAAAAACTGTTAAACTCTTTTAAAATATTTTATAAACTCTTAAAACTTATAATTGTCAAAATCATGTTCATATATGTATAAGTATATAAATAAGACTTAAAGGGCTTAGGACTAATGAGTTGCCTTATCTCCTTTTCCTTGTTTGGATGTGGGCTTAAGGTGGGGTTATTTTTCAGAAGGCTGTTTCCTTCTTAATTATATATATTATACATATGGGAATATAAAAGGTTACTTCAGTCGGTATCATTACCTTTGTATCACGCTGAGCAAAGGGGTACATTCATGAGAGATCATGCTAACCAGATAGAACATATAAATTATAATAGGTATAATTTATGAAACAAACGAGAAATCTATTTTTACTAGATAATTATATCAGGTTTAAACTACTTTGTTAAGGAGAGGATATAACTCAATATTTACTTAAGACTTGACAAACCAAAATGTGATGGTACGATTTCAGGACATAGCAATATACTTGCTATGTCATACTCTTGTAACCAGAGTCTCCTGGAGGGAGAGCGGGCATTGTGTGTATAGATCTATACGGGACGGACAATCTCACACCTAGCTGCTAGCTACAGTGGGACCTACCGGTCTACGGGTGACAAATGTCACATCACTTTCGATGCCAGAAGGTCGTCGTGTTCATTCTAGTCAATCAACATGGTTACAACTTTATCACATTTTAACCCTAATTAACCAGTTTAATAATAGGGTAGTTATTACACAAGTAGTCTATTTTTAAGAAATACTACTATATTAATCACTTTCCACAAACAAAATAGAACGGTTTTATGGGATTAAAACTACTTTACAGAACGGTTTTATGGGATTTAAAACTACTTCACAGAACGGTTTTATGGGATTAAAACTACTTTTTCACAAACAAAACGGAAAACATTCTTCTTATAATTTTATGGATAGTTAAAATTATGTTAAACTTTATTATAAGTACAATAATACTTAAACAGAACGGTTTTATGGGATTACAACTACTTTTCAGTTGTAAAGCAGAAAATATAGGATTTTCTGGAACTTAGTCAATCACTTTTTTTTAAAACTAGAGCAACCATAACTAATACTTATGAACTCACCAGCTTAAATGTTGATCCTCTCTTTCAAAATAACTTGTATTCTCAAGAATCCAGTAAACAGGTATACTCCCGTAGCTTTTAAGAAGGCAGCCTAATACCGTGCTGCGTCTTTTGTCTTTTACTATATCTACTTTTGATGTTTGAATATGTAATGTTTAAACACTTATGTAAAAACTTATACATTATTAATGCAATGGTTGTTGTACTTTGATTACTATAATGCATGTGTTGTGATACTTGACATGACGTCCTTCGCCCCCGAACGGCTCCGCCGTTCCAGTTTGTGGGTGTGACAAAAGTCTTTCCATTACATAAATCCGAATTTCTTCTAACATGGTAATGAGTGGTTTCTTCCTAGCAGCTTCAATCCCTGAGTTAAAACTTTCAGAAACACCATTTTCATATGAATCACAACTCCTATCAACCTGAAAAATGCTTTACACCAGGTTTTAGGGTCCCTTTATATCAAATGTTCATAAGCTAGTAGTTCCAGCTTCTTGATTTCATTCATATGGTATTTAAATTTTTGTTGAATTATAGATCCAGCAGCTCTCCAAAACAGCTTCCTAAATATTTGACTCTTAAATCTTTTCTGGAAATTAGCACAGATGTGCCTAGCACATTGCCTATGCTCTGCAGCTGGAACCCTTTCCTTCACAACTTCAATTAATCCCTATAATCAATACATACAACGCATAAGCTAAAACATATTAAGTATGGAAAATATCAATAAGTGAGGTTAGAACATTACTTTGTGTTGGTCTGATATTATGGTTAGTCATGCCCAACTCCCATTCCAATGTCATCAATCAGAAGATCAAGAAACCACTTCCATGTTTCTCTTATTTTCCACTGCAACCACATCCCATGCAACAGGATATATGTGGTTGTTTGCATCCCTCCCAATGTCTGCAAGCAACTGACCTCTACATATGCCCTTTAAAAAACAACCATCTACTCTAATTACCCTCCTACAACCCTCCATCCATCCTTCAAACCATTTAAACACACATAAAACTTTGAGAAGTATGTTTATCCATCAGGCATCACATCTACCACTGGACCTCTAGATGTAGCACTGGATGTAAGAAAAAACTCGACTCCTTAGCTTTCAATTTCCTAATGCTCATCTTTGGTTTCTGTAATATCTCATTCATGCAATGAGTTCCAATCCATTTGTAGCTTACAATGGACTCAAATTTGAATACTCTTGAACAATTATGCCTATCAATTAAGGACTTAATCTGAAAAGACCTCTCATTCGTCATCCAGGTTGCCCACAACCTAAAGGGATAACTCTTATTCTTCTTATTCTTCTTATGTTTACAACATTTTGCCAACAACTTTTGATGATCAGTTTTTTCATACCATAAATCATACCCATTCTTGACGGCATAGTTGGTTAGACATGGCTTCAATTCCATTGGGTTGGAAAACTTCATACCTAGAACTAGGACCATTTTATCCCATTCTTGATTCTCATCAAAGACAGGAACACAACATCATCATCTTCATCACTGACTTCATCATCATCATCATTTACTTCTTCTTGATTACTATTAGGAATGGGTTTACCACACTTGTTAAAAAATTCATCATCAACTGTTTTGTCAAAAGTATGCACCTCTTCATCAGGTTCATGCTCACATTCCATTATATCTGAAATATGTGAGTCTGTATCATCATCTTCTACCAACTCAGACACCTCATCACCTGTTAACACCTCCTTATCGGCCCAAGTCAAGAATAGGTTCATTTTGGTGGTCAATGTAGACATTCATTCTTAGCTCGTTCTTAGCCATGTAACCATCTTCAATAAACTCAAAATTAATGCAACATCATTGTCGATTCTTCTAATACCCTCTGCCAATCTTTCATGACTACTACAATAGTACAAATTATCACAGCTTCCTCTTGTCAGCTTTGTAACTCACAACACAAATTCTCTATAGTTCATGTCACCAAAATCCACATCAAGAGCTGACATTCTTATAGGGTCTAAGTACACTAACGGGTTTGGTGCAAACATTACATTGTAGTGAAAATCTACAGTGAGATATGTACCGCTAGGTGATTCCATTGTAGTGAAAATCTACATTAGACGATTTCAAGTCCCAACTTCAATTCCAAATAATGAACTCCTACTGCTTCAATTGAGTGATTTATGAGAAAAGTTAATTAATCTGGAACGATTTGGGAGTATTTGTTAAGAACCCTAATTAAATGAGGTCGATTCACCCTAATTAAATGAAGTCGATTCCGAACAAAGGGTGTAATGAACACGTCATATGCCATGTAATTTCTTTTAATGAGTTAATTTGAGTCACCGGTTAAAACAGACATTAGCCAGTAATATTGGTATAAATTGAACACGTAAAACAAGTTAGTTGGCTTTATATGTATAAAAAAGAAGTTGTCAATATGTGAATAAAGATAAGAAGTAGTTACCCTCATAAGTCATTATCCCTTTAATTTATAAAGGTTAAATATATGTTCATATTCTTATTTTATTTTTATACAAAAATGTAAAATAATCATTTATTCATATCCAGACATTGTATTTATTGCAAGAAAACAATATTTATATCAACATCAAATATATGATCATAATAACAAAGAAAAAAAATCAAAAATAAATTATTTCGGACAAAATACTAATTTTAAGTTTAATTCATTATAAAGTGAATCATAAAGACTAAAACCAAACTATAATGGTATGGTCGACAGTTTAAGGATGGAATGGTTAGGAAAAAAGAGTTATACTCGTAGTTTAATTTTAAGACAACCACCCTAATTTTGTCCAAGTTACATGACATTTCACTTAATCAAATGTCCTAATATGAATTAACAATTCGTAACATAATCAGAAAAGAAAAGTACAATTTTAGCACAGTAGTCTAGTTATCAAATATATTATTAATGATTTATGACATCTAATCGTAACCAAAAATGACTATAATACCAAGCCCAAAACTAACAAAAAAAAAAAAAAAAACTACATGGTTAATCAGATCATTTCTTCTTCTTTTTGAGTAGCCATTCGAACACTATCACGATCGCGTCTAAAAACTCGATACAAAGGCGTGTAAAACAAGCAACACAAACCAAAAGGAACCGCCATCATCGAAAAAAGCCCTCTTGAAAGCGCTAAAGCTTCTCTTGTGGACCCCGCAACCGGGTCCACCGATTTCGGGTCATACCCATAAATCTGCTCTGCTAAAATCCCAACCATGGGGGCAGCAAAAGACGAAAATGACCCTTCAAAGGCCCGATCAAACGCGTAAATCATGGTCCGGTGTTTGGCGGGGACCACTTCAGCAAACATTGGTGCATTGGCTGCGGTTCCATTCCAGCTTATTGAAAGACCCATAAGGAGAAGGGTAATAGCGTAAATTAAGTAGCTGTCGACTGATTGTGGGATTACACGTAGTAGAAAGAATGTATACGGGATACCCATGATGGCACTGAATTGGGCACACATGATTCGACCCGTATGAGGGTAAATTTGGGATAAACGATCCGCTATAATTCCACCCAAGAGTGAACCGAAAGAACACCCGGCTCCAAATAGGCTCAAAAGGGTTGCAGCTTGTTTGTGGTCAAAACCTAAAAATGAAAATAAAGATTAGGTTTATTAAAGGTCTTGGAAAAATGCACCATGGTTAGATGCAAAGTGCATACATGCTCACCGATTAGTTCGAACCACATGGTGAAGAAAACCATAGCGGTCCATGGGAGTGAACCAACAAGACCTTGTAAGACGATGATTTGAAACGTTTGGACTTTCATCACGGCTTTCATCGCCGTCCATGACTCAGTCCAAATCGAACCCGAGCTAGAATCACGTCCGCGTTCCAATAGTTCGTTCCTATAATAAAAAAAATCAAATTAAGACTGTGTTTGTTACACCAGACAGTACGTTGGACAAACTTTTCGAGGATATTTTCTATAATAAAGATGAGGAGGGTTTTCACGTCTTTTGTACAAAGATCGAAAACGAGTCATTGTCACACCCCTTCTTCCACCTTTTCAGGTGAAACAAAAAACTGTAACTTATCGAATCAGTCCCAGTCCGATGCACACTGAATGCAATACAATTTGTTAAGTACTGTCTTGTCCTGTGTAACAAAAAGGTAGGACCCGTTTGTTATGCGAAACAACATAAGACATGACATAACATAACATATTGCATTGCATTTGGTGTGCATTGGACTGAGACCGAATTCAATAAGTTACTGTTTTTTATTGCAAATGAAAAATGTGAAACATTAGACACCCTTTCAGTATTTTGTTTGTTGTTTGTGTGAAAGACGTAAATACCCTTTTATATTGTTATTGAAAATAACACTAGACATGTAATAAGAAACCTAACGAATCAGAATCTAAGAAAGATTTGGGTACCTTTCTAGATAATACTCTCCTCCATCACGATCAATGGAAGTTAACCTTTTCGGATCAACAACAAACACGAAAACAAGAAACCCAATCAAGCAACTTAACGCCGCCATCAAAACAAAAGCACACCGCCATCCGGGCACCCCCCAAAACTCATGACCGGCCATAACTGTCGCCACCACACCACCACCGATGCCACCCACCATCCCAACAAGACTCAAGAACCCAAACCCTGTTCCCCTCACACTATCACTGTATGTATCAGCTATAAACGACTGGAGTGCAGGAATCACAATCGCCAATCCAAATCCGTTTACAGCTCTCCAAAAAGCAACCTGACTGAAATAATGACTACCACCAACAGCGCCGGTGGATAACGCCCAGCATAGTGTCCCCATTGCAAGAACTGTGGGCCGATCGTAGGTTAAAACCAGGATTCCGGCGATCGGAGACGCCAGACCTTGAACGAAGTTTCTGATAAACGTGAGGTAGCCCAGATCAGAGGGTCCGGCGTTGAACGCTTCACTGACTTCTTTGTATACAGATGGAAGAAGATTTTCGTCGGCTCGCTCCATTATCGAAGCCAAATTGATGATAATTAGAGAAAGAGAAATCCCAAAAAGTCTCCGTGTCCTGTAGGGAAAATAGAAAGTTCTAACCATATCACTAAACAGTTGATTTTTGAATGTCTGTGTCAGAAATTAGAACAAAAACGATACTAATTTGAAGTTTTGAAGTACAAAATTAATCAAACAACAAGAACGAGTCAACTTTAATCGATCACAAGGGGGATTGAAATGGAAGATAATAAAACATAACAAAGATGAAATAGGGAAATAATCGAAACTTACTTCATGGTTCGCAGATTCGATTTAGGAAACAAGAGTTTAGATCGATTGATGACGATATTACGTAATCTCATCCCCGTGCTAAAAGATCAAAACTCTGATTAAATTCCAGATCCGAAGGTAGTACTGCGTCTCCTCCTGCAATGAAATTGATCCACCAAACCTTCCCATCGTGTTGCCCCACTAATTTTTCAAACACCCACCAAAACTGAATATGCAAATCACGTACATAAACTATAAATCCTGGAAATCGATTGAACAAAATGGAATTTTAAAAAGTTGGATTTGGTGGGATTTGGTGAGAGTTCAACGTTTGACCCGGCAAAGATTATAAATCGATTAATTACAAACTTGATTGTGTTCAGAAGTTTGATACGCCGGTTTATTCAAAAAATATCTGGTGAATCTTCATATGATATTATGATTAGATTAGATTGAAACTAACTTGATCTTTGACTTTTTTTGGAAACTTTTCTTTTAGTTTTCTTGGTGGCCTCTATTTTGATAACCGCGATCTACGTAGATCGATACGATCCACGTGGGGAATCTTTTTCTGTTTATTTATAGGCGGAGGTTATCATTAAAATTAGGGCACAAATTAATTAGAGACAAAATTTTAAAAATGGTCCCTGTAGTTTTTGAAAAGTGGCAAGGTGAGACTAACTTTTAGAAACGTTTCATAACTGCCTTATGGTTTTAAAAAATGGCATGGATGGTATTTGTTAACATTAATGACCAATATACCCCAAAATGACCATTTTTGAAAGATATTTTCTAATCACCATGCACCACTACCACCGTCTACCACCCCACCACCAACTACCAACAACGAATACATTGGATTTTCCCGCTATATTTGCCATGAATGATCAGATATTATAGATTATAGACCGGCTTCAATTTTGTGAAGAATTCCACCATTATCATCTTCAACCATCAATGGTAATTATATCAAGGTTAGTATTTCACCACCACCACTAAAAACAAATCCAAAAATTCATATACAATGTTTTTAAACCTTTAAAATCAATCCAAATACAAAAACAATGAAACTTCATCCCTGATAATCCTTTTTAATGAAATAACCAAAATGAAAAACACAAAACATGCATCCTTAATTAGCCTTTACATACATCCTAGAGACCTTTGCCACTAGACCTGACAATGGAGCAGGTTTGGAACGAATCGATCTTTATCCAAACCCTTTTAACAAATTTCAAAATACGATCCAAACTCGCTCCGTAATCCGCAAGATTTTGAATAATCAAACTCATACCCATATCCACTGAATCAACAAATATCCAAACCCGACCCGTAACCCGTATAGCTTTTGAATAATCAAACACATTCCATTTAATTCTTAAAATAACATTTCTTAAATAAAAAATGTCTAATATAACTTAATACTTAAAATAATATTTCTTAAATAAAACAAATGTTGATATAGAAAAGGCATTACGTACTCGAAGACTTTTGATTAAAATTAAAAATCACTATTGTGACAACTTCCGATTAATTTATGGCTATCGATTATAGGGCGTGTTTGACAAAACTAGCTGGTAGCGGGTAGCGGATAACTGGTAGCAGGTAGCGGGTAGCGTTTGATTTTGAAGCGTTTTTTTAAAAGCTTCTCCATGTAGCTTTTGATTTTGGAACGTTTTGTTTGGACTAAAAGTTAAACACTCTTGTCGCCGAACGAAGTTTTTTCTTTTTTTATGAGTGTTTTCTTAAAAGCTAGAAGCCAGAAGCTCCCAAAGATTACATGTCGAATACGCCCATAGTGATAGCAAATAGAAATTACATATTTTCTTCTGATTGATAAATGATTATTGATTTATAAATGGAATTTACAATTACTTGATGAAATATTAATGAATGACATCATGATTCATTGTAGAAGACTGAAATTCTAGAAGTCAACTCCTCGAGTCCTAGGTAAAAACAGCTTGGACTTTGCACTTTTGATTGGTAATAAAATTAAACGTTAAGTAGTTTAAACTATAAATGTATAATTATAAAATTTATACGGGGCGGGTTATAAACAGAACAGATCAATGATGATCCATACCCGACTCTTTTTAATCAAAGGGTTAGCGGGTATGGGTCGTTAACGGGTAAACGAATAAAAACTACACTCCAAACCTTTATAATTGTTACGGATTTGGATCGGATCGGATCAGGGTCAAAACTCACTCCATTGTTAGGTCTATTTGTCAGCATGTCTTGTCGGAGAATGTCAAATTTGCATTCTTTAAAACTTCCAATTCTAAACTTATATAAAATGTGTTTGAGTTGCTATATTTGAAGCATTTTTGAAAAACAGGGAGACCAATTCTAAAATTTGTCCTCAACCTGCCACTTTTTGAAAAACACAGGACCAGTTCCGAAATTTTGTCTTAATTAAGACAAAACACTATATGTTTGGTTTGCGGATTCAATAGGAATCCAAAGGAATTGGAATACAGATTATGTTATGTTAACGCACTACGCAGGGAAGGAAACTGGATTCCGTCAAAATGATTGATTTTATCATTTTTGGAGGTTGGATAAAGAACTTCAATTCCAATCATGTTTTTTTTATTAAAATTAAGAAATTATCCTTGAAAACTTTATCATATTAAACCACTAAAAGATTATAGACATCCGCTTCACGGTCTACACCTAATTGATGATGATCACTCATGATTTGCACATTGCTCGATTTATTTATTTTCTCTAGTGGCAAAGATGGTCAACACATTTCTCGTTGTTGTCGCACTAACGATCTAAGCAAGGGCACTCCAACTTTATCTTTCTTGACTTTTTTAATATTTTATTCTAAGTTTACATGTTTATGCTTTATAAGTTTGTTAGACCATCCACATTAGTTCAATATCACTAATTTTTCATTTGTGACAGATCGCAATGATTATTCACATCAGTGCAATAACACTCATCTTTCAAAAGTGGTCCTCACTGTCACATCAACAATTAATATTATATATATTATATATATATATATATATATATATATATATATATATATTAAATATTAATATTTACTCAATAATAAATAAATATAAATTTAATTATTATAATTAAAATAATATTTTTTTAAATAAAATAACAAAATAATAATAAAAAAATGATGGACGGCAAAAGAGTAAACTAGCGATGAAATTATTATAAATTGATCCATCAACATTGTCAGAACAACAAAGAAAGTTGTATGAAATGCAACTCGATATGTTGTTAAAAGGAAAATGATGTCAGTTTTATGCACTCTATCGATTACGTTTAAATAATTGTATTTCTTTTAATTTAATATGTTTCTGATCATATATATTTTAAATAAATAATAGTTATTAATATTTGTTAATTAAATAATAATTAAAATTAAAATTAAGTTATATGCTAAACATATGTCAACAAATGATAATAATTCGATAAACTTGTATTTTATATATAATATATATATATATATATATATATTATATATATATATATATATATTAAAGATAGTTTAAATAAATAAAATATTAAAATGGAAAACATTATTTAATATTAAATTTAAGTTTGCAAGACTTTCTATATTCGAAAGAAAGTGGCTTATGTGGCATGTATAATTAAATATGTGGCATTGCAATTACATTTACAAGCCATCGATGTGGGTGGTCTTAAAAAATAAAAGAGAAATTAAATAGTCTCTTACTTTTTGTTCCTAATATCCTCCTACGTATTTTAGATGGTGATAAGTGTCATTAAATTTAATTCAAATTTGATTGAGATTTTGAATTTGTACACTTGTCATCATCTTAAATAGGTAGGAAGAAAAGTAGGAACAAAAGGTAGGATGATATTTAATTTCTCTAAATAAAAATGTATTTCATTTCTATCGAGCCTTACGCGTGCGATGTGTTTTGAATCCTATTGATTTTCAAAGGTTACGTTCAGAATTTAAATGTATGTAGCTCGCTATCTCTATAAATATTTATTTAATTTTGTATTTACAATTTATTTGAGGTAATTATATACAAAACACATAATAATTTATAAAAACTCAATAAAGAGTAATTATGTCTTTTATTGACATTCCAAATTCGGTTTCATTTTCGCCAACCAAACACGTCAAAGATCCAAATTCCCTCAAATTCCGATTCTTTCAAATTCAAACTCTCCAAAACATTTTAGAACCAAATATGTGCATATCGAACATGAACACACACACACACACATACACATGCATCAAAATAATTGATTTTCTGAAAAATCAGGTTTGAAGAACAAGGTCTTTCTTCTCTCTTCTCTTCCTATCACCAAATTTTTTGTGTTATTACTCTTCATCGAGTTCTTCATTTCTTGTGTGGTTTTTTTGATGGTCAAGAACAAACCCATATTTACACACACAAACATTAAGAACACACAGTTAAAGGTTCGACTTATAGATTATTGGATGGATTTTCTGGTGGTCAAGAAAAAACTCATATTTACACACAAAAACACCAATAACATATAGTTAAAGATCGATTTTTTGGGGGGTTTCTTTGTACGAGTTTTTTCTCAAGAACTCATAGCTCTTTTTTCTTTCTTTCTATCTATCTATGTCTATGTCTGAAGAACTCATAACTCGATTCTTGTGTGGGTTTTGATATGTTTATCAAAAATAAGTTTCTAAAAAAATTTGTAGGGTTTGATGGACGGTTTTTAGGTTTATGTGTAAACCAGATGTTCATGTGTAACCCAGATGTTAGGACATCTCCAACCCCACTCTATAATCTACACTGAACTCACTTTTACACTAAAATGCTCCAACCTCGCACTAAACCTAATACTATATATAGTGTTGGTGAATAGTGTAACACTAAATATAGTGTTATACTCTTCATCAACTATATATTTTACATTATAAAGTTGGATAAAACAGAATATACCTAGAATATACTTTTTATTGTCAAATATATTGTAATGGGTTGGAGATAATTTATTGGTTGCACCATCTTTTACACTATAATATTAAGTTTAGTGTAAAAGATAATGTTAAGGGTTGAAGATAGTATTTGATGTTTTGTAGGTTTGATGAACGATTGTATATTTAGATATTGATATTCTTAAGTGAAACCCCAAGAACCAAAATTCAGATCTTTAATGTTCTTGTATAATCTAAAAACACAAATAGAGAGAAAACAAAGAGAGAATTGAAAATAGTAAAGTGCGCGTTCATGTGTATAAGTGTATGTAACATCCCAAAATTACCGAGTAAAAAATTCATTTTGAATAAGTTAAAACCATTCATTCATTATCCCAAAAGACGATCAGAATAAAAGTATTCTCAAAAAATCGGGAGTAAAATCATAAACAGTCAATGCAGAATAAATCTCAAGGGGATGCAGTGGCGATCTAGCCGGGCTCTTCCTTTTGAAACCAGATGTACCTGAAAACTATTTTAAACATCAACCTCAGGCACAAAACTTAGTGAGTTTTCCCCAAAATACTGCATACCATGCATACATATCAGCTCGAAGGTGTAATGGGTCTATTTCACCCCCGGGTCTATTTCACCCCCAA